CTACCAGCTGTAGCTGTGTGTAGTTATAGAGCAGCTGTACCTATTGTTTTAGTTATTGCAACTGCTTGTCGAGACTAATTTCATGCATATAGGTTTTTTTTAATTTCTTTGTTAGACATCTTATTCATTTTTCATTGGTATAAGTTGTCCCTAAGTACTGAGTGCCTTTCCCCCAGCCGCCAAGTCTTTCTTTATGTTGTTCTACTTATGGCTTTGTACGTTTATCTACTACAGGTTCTGTAGTGGGTTGATCTAGTTTGGATTCATCTGAAAGTCTTTTCAAGAAATTCATCACATTCCATCTTTTTGATGTAATACACTTTCATATAAAAGTCTAAAATACACAAATATGAAATATCCTAAACAATTGAAATTATAAACTGTTGTAAAGAATGAGTATTTGCCACCATATTTTTGCAAAGCAATTGTTTAAGGAAATATTTCCTACATTTAGCTGAGAAGCTGCTACATTTTGCTAAGTAGCTGCTTGGTCAGGTTTTAATATTTGTTTTGAGGGCTTAGTTCTTGCCAACAGTTTTCGAACTTGATCTCGCCGACTCTTGGCATGAATGACATCTGATTTCACGATGACACTCTTTAAATGAATCTCGGTCCTTGCAATTAAACAGAGCAATCCATCGAGTCTGCTCTCTCAGATCTTTCGGGACTGAGTATTTTTGAGAATAAGTACCCAAACACTGTGGTCTTTATGTCGACCAGAGAATGCTAAATAAGACAAAATGTATTTCTGTTCGGTAAGGGCTTTACTCGCACTGCTGTTATCTTGAATGAATAGGGTTGGTTCTCCTTTGAATTTGTCATGGCACACTCGTAAACAGTGTGTAGCGTTGAGGATTCTTACAAAAGTTTGCACATCGGTTTTTCGATTCATACCTCAATGAACCGAGAAAAATACACAGTCAATGCTTATAATTAAATTCGACAACGAAAACGAACCGGAACAAATATTTCCGGGAGAAGGCGGATGTTTCAAATGACATGGTCAGTTGCCGCCAGATTCGAACATTAGTTCCCTGAGAACGGGAAAACACAGTTGGAAAAATGGCAGTTAGAAATAAACCCGAATACATGAAAGTTGTGGAACCGAGGCGAGCGAGCCTGCACGTTGGCTGTCTCATTCCTTCTCGGCTTTCGATCTAAAAGGTAGTTTGGACAATGAATATGCATGAATTTCGCTAAATCAGAATGCAGGAATTTCAATGAACACAAGGAAAATTTCATTATTTTATCATGAAACATGTCCATCACTTTAAAGTGAAAACAAACACATAATATATTTATGTTCATGTAACAAGAATTATGTATCAGTGGCTTCTTCTCTATTTTATCATGTTTTCAATGTTACTAGTATATTTAAAAAAAGATCTTAGTATTATTTTTTTCTATTGGTTGGGGACCAGTTTTAACTCGCAATACTCATGGTACGACCAGCATAGATTGCAGTGAACCCATAGGCTACAAGGGGGCCGATTCTAACACGGATTCTACACGTGGTTGACAAGTGTATCAAGCACAAAACAAACTCGAGATCTCACAGCCAAATCAAATTAGTTTAACTTGTGAGACCCACATGGTGCATCTATTTTTAAAATTATATATGAGATCGAGCTCTTTGCATTCAATATTAGATACCCATCTATATCCATCTTTTGTATCAATCATGACATTCTTCTACCACAGTTTTAGTGTTGACAACAACACAAACAGTCAGCGTCCAACTATGGTTTGGTAACACAGTGCACTGCGCTTGAGTAAATCTGCTCGTTGTCTCGCTTATAATTGCGTTAATGGGCATATTTAGTCAAAAAGAGTAATATGTGTTTATCACGGCACTTCATTTCATTTAGTCTTTCTGCCACTGTATATTTAATCTCAGACACTCGTGTACTATATGCACGCGCATCTAGCTCATTGCATGTAAATATCCAAATGACAAAATATTTCCTCTATTAAAACAGGTATTCAGTCCGATCTTCTGATGTTTGGGTCATTAAACATGGTGCAAGGTCGTTTGATAACTTTTGAAGTCATGTTTGAAGTCTTTTGATTATAAAGTGTGTTATGAAGCCATAACCAAATTAACCTCGTTTCAAAGAGATCAAGCACTTGTTATGCTACATAATGCTAATTTTTGCAAGTTCACCATGGCAATGAAATTGATAAGAACCCATTAAATGTCAGTAAATGGCATTACATTTAACGATCGGTTTACGAGATGTTGAAAATGTATTCAAATGTATTTCTGACAGAAATTAAATTTTAAAACATGGACATATTTCAACAAAGCTTTCGAATATGTTTTCGTAGTACAAACTGCATCACACAATTGCAACTGATATTATGATTGACCTTCAGGCTCCTATTTGAAGGTCGTATGCTTGAGTTCATGTAGAACGCCCTGCTTGGTACTGACGTACCACATGATGCAGGACCTAACAACCTCTTCACAATGAACGCAATAGCTACAGTCGAACTCTTATAACGTTGGGCGACACGGTGGCCCAGTCGTCAAAGGCGCCGCAATTCGCTGTTCAGAGTTGCGTCCCTTGGTCACACCAGAAAGCTCAAAGCACAATCTCATTAAAATCAGATCTTAGTTCTCGCTGGCGCTTAACAAAGATCTGAGGACATCCCATCAAGGGTCACGTCAGGCCGACCTTTCGCGAACTCTGACCGACCAATGGAATTACTGACAAGAAGTCGACATTAGCCAATCAGAAGGCAGCTTTCTCGCGCTGTACGGCACTAATTTCAAATTGGCGACTACGCCTCGAAAAATATTTAGGCAAATTCTCGCTTAAAAAATTGAAACCTGAACAAAAGAACATTCTCGAATGGCTAATATATGGTCTAGATTATATAGATTCAGTCGTTAAGCCAGTAATTATCTTTCGGAATACTCTGTTTAAAAGTTTTTGAGGATGCATGATGAGAAATCACATTCCGACTGTCACTTTCATGATCTGGTAAGCGACGCTCTGATTGGTCGGATGAAAGGTCGTTCTGACGTGACCCCTAATGGGATGTCCTCAGATCTTTGTTTAGCGGTAGCGAGAACTGAGGTCTGATTTTAATGAGATTGCTCAAAGCATGATCGTGGAATTAAGCGGTGATATAACAGAAACACTGTTCAAGCAGCCTTAAACCCAACTCACTCACTTATAACTTTGGAAACAGATGGAACTAATTTTTAGAACCAATGTGACGATATTGCAGGAGACGGCTTAAATAATTGAAGAGAGGTTTTGTTTGCTTGAGCGATATGATTTTGTCACAAATATTTGACGCGTCTGAAATAAGGACGGAAATGATATGTAATGAGCACAGCTATTTTGTATGTATCGATGCTTTATTTGAGACATGACTTAAATATTAACGTCGTTATAGTAACGTCACGGTCATATCTCTGATACACTGTTACTCGCCCCATCTGGAAATGCAGTTTCTGATCCAATATTGAACGTGGGTGGTGGTGCCTGAGGGAAACCTTTAACACATCTACATGTCAGTTCGTGGTGTTGTGATATTCTTGTTACAATATTAGACAAGCGTTATTTTTTAAAGAAAACTAATTTCCACTTTTCAGTGTCGCGATGGATTCTCAACCCCTTTGTAGGTCAACTTCAAAACTCGTCTGATGTCCTATTTGTCTCGTGACACAAAATAACAGTTTTACATTTTATTGTGGATAAAAAATTTAAAAACTTTAAACATGTAATTAGTCGTAACTAAATAAAGATGCTTAAAAAATGTCCTTACCATTACGATGATAATTTAATGTAGGTGGAAGTAATCGTTAATGAGACGTTTTTCCATTGGACTTTAGGCAGGTTACATGACCGCGAAACTAACAGTGTGAACCAAACCAGGATATCGATTTTTAATTTTAAATTTTTTGTCTGAATGAATACAAGACCCATTTCACGCACGTTGAATTGTAATACTAAACCGCTTCAGACCTTTAGTTGGTTTTCTCTAAAAACTTGAAGTCAGTGGTCCAACATGACAATAAAAACCGTTCAAATTTGTTTGTTTTTTCTCTTTTCCATAACATATATGGTCGGTAGGTATTTAAAATTAGAATTATTATTTAATGTCAAGATGGCCAAGATCCTGAATAATTATTTAAACATTCTGTCGTGGTGAGTTTCATTACTTGGGTGGGCACACGCATGAAAACAATTTGTGACATTTAATTGCTAAATGAGTTGACAGACTCGGCTGTAATAAAAAAAACCTCTCAAATGAGAATGGCTTTTCTTTTCTTCTTTTCTGATTTTTAGCGTCAACGGATCCGTAGACCAATTAATTAAAAATCACGCATCAGGACGTTCACATAACGGTCTTGGCAAAAGGTGTAGTGACAAGTATGTAAAAGCACAAAACACTAATAGAATGTTCATATTTAAATATCAAGTTTAAATGGTCACCTCGTGTTTCTTATATTATTGAAAAAGACCCTTAAAACTTAAACTACTACCTGTCTCTTACTAAAATTTAAGAAAATCTTTAATCAAAATTGTAAGTGTCAACCATTAACTCTAAAAAATATTAAACAGAAATTAATAGGCTCTAATGCTCAGCGTTTCTTCATTGTCTGGTTACTTATCTGCGTTTCCTAAGTGTGGGGTTTGTTTGTCGCGGAGTCATCACTGATTAATATAATTTTCGCAGCTATTTTGCGTTTTACATCAAATGGACTCTGTTTCGGTGGATAATCTAGGTTTATCTCTTGCATTCACAATTTATATTTACTTCAACTGGGTCGATGTTTCTGCTCGTCTTCAAGTTTAGCCATAAGCTCAGTAGCATTTATCTATGACGTCAACTACAAAAGAAATGTTTGAGCCGAGACATTAACGCTGTCCCCTACTGTGTTGCAAAAAGGAATTTTTCTTTACTTAAAAGCAGCCGAATCTATGCTCTTGTGCACAGCAGGTGTACTTCAAAATTAACATCGGTTTGGGGTTTTTTTTCAGTTTCAACAAAATCTGTAAACGCCCTACCGTGTTGCTGGATTTTCTGCTTCATCGATCACTTGATTGTCTGGTTTTTTTACAAGCCGCCGTCGCATGACAGGCGTACTGCTGTGCGGAGTCAGGCAAGAAATACTTCCTTTTTTATGCCAATGATGTGAATGGCGGGGTGGTTACCCTTTTTGCGAACACCTGGTGTCATCGCTGATTTTTAGTGATACATTCCTATAATTTCCACAGCTATTTTGCACCAAATTGAATCTGTTTCGATGGATAATCTGGACTGGGTACTCTCTTGAATTGGTAATTTACATTTAAAAGAAATCGAAAGCATTTAAAAAAATGATTTTTGATTTATAATTAGTCTTTTTACCTTATGTCAATCCTATCATGACTATAGGCAGTCTCCTGGTGCCCCAGGCTCATCACGCCAGCTGTGATGAAGTCGAATGAATCTGTGATGAAGTCCAACGGTAACGGACTACGCACCATGCAATAAACTAACTCAGACCTTTGGGTGTTGTAACGAAAGGCTTCCGACGATTGACACCAGACTAACTATTACAGATTTGGGAAGGACTTACATAAACAACTAAACGAACGAGCATTATAATTCTCAGTGGAAAATTGGTCTCCTGTAGCATGTCGTACAAGGCGACTAACTGATCGGGTATTCAGGCTTGTTGTTTAACGCCGAAGTCAGCGGCGGCCTCTAAATAATCAAATCTGAACCAGACAATCCAGTGATTGATCTTATGAGCCACTGTCCTCGCCCTCGCCAATTCTATCCCGGATTCCCTACAGTGCTACCAACATAGATTGCTGGGGACCAATTCTTTGTTTGTTATTCAAATTTCTCTTTTGAATACAGCACATTCCAACCACGGTGTAAACCAGCACATGTAATACCATTGTCCAAAAAGGGAAATAAATCCCAAACTTCCAAATACAGGCCTATTTACTGTTATCATGAAATTTATTCGAACGACATATTTTTAAAAGAATGCATGGAGAATACACTACTTTCGAAATATCTATCAGGATTCATGCCAAATAATTGTACTACATATTAACTGATCGAAACTTACAATCATATTTGCAAAAATAATTGTATGATATTCTGTGAATTTTTCTAAGGCATTTGACAAGGTATGGCATACAGGTATATTGCATAAGCTTCAACAATATGGTTATACTCGTAAATTATTAACCAAACAAACACTGAGGTCTCACAGGAGTATAAACTTAGGTTTACTTGTGAGACCCAAATGTTGCATTTTTTATGCAAAATGGCCCTTCATTTACTCAATTTTTCAGTGCTCTACTTCTACAAGTTTTAATAATAAAACTCTGAGATATTGTATCTTCTATATCCTTCATATTTTGAAAAGACAAATTATCTTAATTTCACACAAACCAATCAACAGCACACCTGTCGGTGCTCTTGCATGGATACTGATATTTCCTGTTTTAGGAAATAACTTATTTGAGGGCGCACAGTGCATCGCCAGATTTGTATTATAACAAATGTTATTCAACTCACCTAAGAAAGGGAAAATTCCACATTGTGAATCAATCATTCAGTGTCTACTTTAGTTGGTTATTTCATGGATGTCACGAACAGATTTGTATCCACTAGCTGTAGTCTTGTACAAAATATACCTCTGTTTGGCGCAGACATTCACTGAGTCCAATATTAAACCAATTCATCCTCTTTCTTCTCATTATTGTTGCAGATGTTGGGCAAGGTCCTGGTCGTGTTTCAGTGAACTTGCACAATAAAGAAATATCCATATTTCACCTTAATGTATGAAGTCAACGATAAAAACTACCTGTACCTCATATTTCCCCGCATATCTCTGAATATGATTTATTATGTTTTACAGAGACACCCCTCATAATTCTTCTGTATGCACAAATGATCTGAAATGAGACCTTTATCGTTATCATTATAGGAAAGATAGGAATTGTGTTGGTGGGGGTATCATATTCTATATTTCTCGTCATTGTCGTATGCTAAACGAAAATTTAGAATCATACAGTTATGAAAATATGTTCCGAGGTATGTGCACCGTATACACCAGCAAACATCCATGTGTCATATTGGGATCAACTTGAACATAGGTTGTTCTTCTCGGTGACTTTAACAAAGATTTGCTTATCAGCAATCTTTATCATTCCACAATATTTAGTAAAGAAGTGTTTACGTAGCGTAACTAAAGAGCCGACTTGCGTAGCTCGACATTCCTTTTTCTTTTGGACGCTTAACGAACGGCATTGACATGAAAAAAAACATGCAGCGAACGCGATTTATATGAACATAGAAAACAAAATAAGGTAAATAATTAAATGCAATCTGCCAAGGAATTATCTTATCTAAACTTACATGAATTATTATCATCACAAATGAAAGAAAACAGTTCTAATTAATGGAAAATACTGCGTCACTTCATTAAAGATTCTGGACCCAGCAACGTTATACCACCTCTGATCAATAATAACAACACAGTAACTGATTTATTTTCAGATTTTCAAATATCCATATCCAACCTCTATGTTTGTTATTCATTTCATCTCTTGAGAAAGCATAGGCTCATCATTGCCATTGTACAAATACCACCCTTCAAACTACAGCCATTTTTCACTGTTATTTTGTCTCTTCAAAATATTTGAACGAGACATTTTTAAGAAATTCAATGTATAATTTCTTTCTGGAAAATATAGTCTGGTCATTCTGTAATTTAACCTCAAGAAAATTGCAACAGAATATTTTACGACTGTTTCCTTTTAATTGAATGTATTTGAGTTTGTATTAAAGAGTCTATAAATATGATGTGGTCATTGTTTCTTTCAAATGGGGTGAGTAATAAAATGGGTAAACTATTATGCAATATTTATCAAAATGTAAAGTCATGTGTAAAAATCGGGGAATATACTCTGATGTCTTCACATGTAACATTGGTGTACGCCAAGGCTGTATTCTTAGCCCATTCCTGTTCTGTTTTTTCATCAATGAACTAGCTGCACAAATTAAGGAAAATTGTACGGATGGTATACAGCTGCATCCAGATATTGTGAAGATTTTTCTGTTGCTTTTTGCTGATGATATAGTCCTGTTCTCTAGTACGATAAAAGGTTTACAGAATTTGATAGATCAACTGGAGCTGTACTGTTCTAATTTTAAACTCCAAGTGAACACTGAGAAAACGAAAGTGTTAGTTTTCAAAAAGGGAAATAAACTATCAAGTAGGGAAAAATGGTTCTTCAACTCACAACCGTTAAAAATTGTCACTTCTTATAAATATCTGGGAGTAACCTTCACAGGCAGATTAACGTGGAATTACCACACCAGTAATGCAGCAATGCAGGCAAAAAAGATACTAATGGGAATCTTACATAGTTTGAAAACCTTCACTGATCTCTCATATCAAACCTTTTTTAAAATATTTGATACAAAAATTACTCCAATTCTTTTATATGGAGCAGAGGTCTGGGGGCATACTGAATACAGAACTATTGAACTGGTCCATCTATATGCTTGTAAACGATTCCTTGGCGTAAAAAACTCTACATCGAGTGTTATGGTATATGGTGAATGTGGACGTGTACCACTTTACATATTTCAACATATTAGAATTCTCAAGTATTGGTTCAAGATTCTTAAAATGCTTATTGGTAGATTACCTAGAAAATGTTACAATATGATGTTATTGTATGAAAAACATGGAAGCCGCAATTGGGTATATGACGTAAAGTCGTTATTAAATGATTGCGGCTATGGGTATGTTTGGCGTAATCAATGTGTACCTAACAATCCCGATTCATTTTTAGTATCTTTACGCCAAAGACTTAAGGATATATACTTACAAAAATGGGCATCGCATGTTTTAAGTGCAGAAAAATGCAATTATTACAAGCTTTTCAAGACAACAATTTCCCCAGAATACTATTTGTTTGACATCAACTTTAAAAGGTTTAGAATAAGTTTAGCACAATTTAGATGCAGCTCTCATAGACTTAGGATCGAAGTAGGCAGGCATAGAAACATAGACAGAGAATTGAGAATATGTGAGCAATGTGATTTAAATGTGATTGAAGATGAGTTTCATTTTCTGTTAGTTTGTACAAAATACGACCACCTTAGAAGAAAATAGATTGATCTGCCTGGTTATGTACATCCCACTATACAAAGATTTACAACGATCATGTCAACAACTGATAAAGATACTCTAAAAAATCTATCAATGTTCATTTATCATGCTATGTTAATTAGAATATGACCTGTTAAACGGATCTGTAACCACTCCCGAAAACAGAATTGTACTATGGGCCTGAGGCCTTTCAGTATGGATTAAAACTTATCCTATTAAAGAGTCTACCAAAATCAACCTTGGGAAAAATGGTTAATTCCCGCATCAAAAAAGATAAAAACCAACGAGGAGAATATGGCATCTACGGGCCGCCGTACATCAAGAAGAGCTCGCAAAGGGAGATAATTCGTAGTGATCCTGCTAGTGCCTTGGAAAATATTCAGAAAAAAACAACGATAACGGAGCCGTATTATTTCATGGTAAGTTGACAAATACACATTTATTCAAAGATGTAGTAATAATGATGAAAATAATAGCAGTTGGCTTCCAATATACTTCTAACATGCCCATCAACCATAAATTGTGTAGCGTCGTCTGCTATGTAACTACGGTCGCACCAGCAGAGAACATGTGTGTTAAACACGACCGATAACCATATACCTGTCTTTTATAAATTCATCCAACATTGTTACAATTATTAGAAACATAATAATGTGAAAAAATATATCGAAAAGTGGACCCTCCTTGATAAAATAAAAAATGTATGGAAGCCCATGAGTGACATGATGTATAATCATTTGCGTAATGCGTACGTAATTTGCAATTCATTAAATTCATTACGTTTTGCAACCAATCTTGACAATATTGATATCGGAACAAGTTACCTATTTCTAAAACACCCGATATTGACATTTCTCGTTTTGAGTGCATTTGTTTTACTGTTTAAAGTCACAAAATTAACTCTTTTAACCGGCTTGTAACTTTTTTTTTGTCTGGGAAATTGGTGAAAAACGGAACCAGGAAAATTCAGCAAATGCAGATGTAATTACTTGAAATATATAGGAATTAAACAACTTTACTCTCTTTTGGCACGATGCTGTAAGACATTGTTCTTCTTTCAGAATTACGGCTACCATTCTGGAATGGCATGATCTCAGACAACAGCGCCAGTGGATTCTGTCTCCGTTTCTTGTCTTGAAACTAAATTTGTAGCAGGAGTAGACCAAATACTGTCCCAAAAGATTGTTTGGAATACAGCGAGGCACTTGTGTGTTTATTCGCCGAAGGCCCGGGTTCTATTCCCCACATGGGTGCAATTCGTGAAGCCCATTTCTGGTGTTCCTCGGGGCAATCTCATTAAAATCAAATCTTGGTACTCGCTACCGACAAACAAAGATCTGAGGACATCCCATTAGGGGTCGCGTCAGAACTACCTTTCATCCGACCAATCAGAGCGTCGCTTACCAGATCATGAAAGTGACACGGGGTATTCCGAACGACAGTTACGGGTTTTTATGATTATATCGCTACAATCTAGGCCATCTCTAAGCCATTCCAGAGTGTTCTTCTTATCAGTTTAAATTTTTTTAATCGGGAATACGTCAAAATATGTTTCGAAGCGTAGTCGCCAATTTGAAACTAGTGTCGTAAAGCTCGAGAATGCTGCCTTCTGATTGGCTAATGTCGATTTCTTGTCAGTCATTTCATTGGTCGGTCAAAAAAGGTCGAGAAAGGTCGTTCTGACGTGACCCGTAATGGGATGTCCTCAGATCTTTGTTTAGCGGTAGCGAGAACTAAGATCTGATTTTAATGAGATTGCTCTCGAGGGCACGGATGGCCCAATCGTCTAAGGCGCCGCGATTCGCTGTGCAGAGTTGCGTCCCTTGGGCACCCCAGAAACTTGTGATTGTGGGTTCGAATCACGGTTCGCCCCAATTACGTTTCTAGGTTTGTCAGCACCATACCCGTGCTCGTGGGTTTCACCGAGGAGGTAAACGTCTAGGACCTGCATCACTTCGGGCTTTCCTTCCACATTAAGCTGACACACCGTGATATAACTTGAATAATGTCAAAAGCGGCGTCAAACCCAACTCACTTACTCAGGTGTCCCCCGCCTTGCTATAACTGGAATATTGCTAAAAACGGCGTAAAGTCATACTCACTCACTCACTTGAGCGTTTGCCATATTGCTATGCTATGCAATAGTCTATGATTATCTTGTACTTATACTCAAATTGAATAGATTCGCTCACTAAAATAAATGAATCTATAGTCAGTATAGCCTGTGTTCACTCAGCGTATCAGCGACAGTAATAGATAACCGGCTGACATGAGTGTCGCCGGGGCCCCTTTCACCAGAATAGACTATACTCGGCCAACTACCCATGCGTTACCAAGTTCCAGTTTTTCATGATATTAACATATTTATTTCCATAAAGTGGAGGGATTGACAAACAAGCAAATTTTGCCTATCTGAATGCCTCTCCCAAACATGATACGCATACAAATTACAATGTATTAAAGTGATATGAGAAATAGCATACATGATATAATTGACATTAAAGATGATTATTGTTCTGTAAGTGTTTTATTACTGGATTATCTTTCGAAACTACAGCTACGTTATATTATTTACATCTAGCACAACAACATCACAGTATCATATGTACTTGCCGTAAAAGGCGACTGTGCTTGTCGTTAAAGGCGACTACTAACGGGTTCGGGTGGTCAGACTCGCTGACTTTGTTGATGCATGTCATCGATCCCAATTGCGTGGATCGCTGCTCATGATGTCAATCACTGGACTGTCTGGTCCAGACTCGATTATTGACTGACCGCCGTCATATAGCTGCAATATTGCTGAGTGCGGCATCATACAACAACAAAAAATTTAACTTCTGAAATATGCAACCAATATACTTACTTAAACGAATGAGTGTTCAACTGTCAGTAGTTGTGAATAAGCATCGGAGTTTATAAAAGTTGGGATTTATACGACAATAGTTTGGTAATAATTTTGTTTCAAATCTAAAACAAGTATACTGGAACATACGATATTCATTTCCCCTTGTACGCGAGTCACAATTCGGGCAGAGTCTCAATCAAAGGAACATTCTGCCACGACCCGTTTCTACGGACAAAATAGTATTACTTGTACGAAATTGTAAAACTTGTATTGAAGGACACTTGACTTATCAAAATCATTTCTTCCACAATTAGTACATTAAGTTCTTAAAATGATATATGAAGTGTGATTATCTTACATTTGAATATAATATGTATGACTTCATTCCAATTTTTGAAAATCTATGGCAACATTTAACTTCTCGGACACTCTTCATATATGTCCTCTATTTGACCTTCAACTATTATAATGAATTAAATTGTCCCTGTGATATTTTTTATAAAGTAAATAAAAGTTGTATACCCAGATTGTTCTTTAATTTAGTTATATTAGAAAGAAAACTATAATAAATTTGAATCTCTTCCTTCCTACAAATATCCAAGAATACGAATTAAATAGGCCTATATCTTGTGACCTTGAGAAAGGTCATTCCCATGAGTTGATTTTGGTAGACTTTTTTTTTTCCTGAAAGCTGACATGCTACCAAATAACATAAAGTATGAATTAATTCTGTTGCAATTTTCTTGAGGTTGGCCATTTCGACCAAATGACCAGACTAATAAAATACTTCCAAATATCAATCGGGATTCATGCCAAACAGTTGCAGTATATATCAACTGATTGAAATTTATAATCATATTTGTAATTCGCTTGATAGTCATAAATATTTTTGGTTGGTATTCTGTGATATTTCTAAGGTATTTCACAGGGTATGACATAAAAGTACATCTTAAAAGCTACAACGATAGGGTATTACTGTTAAATTATTTGTGTGGTGTCGTAGTTATCTGTCAGATCATTGCCAAAGAGTATGTATTAATGGTAGATTATCTAGTAATAGATTCACCAAAGGTAAGGGTCCGTGGGGTTCTGTACCGGGGCCGTTCTTTTCTTGTTTGCAGAAATCATACAATTGACCAAATTCAAAATATTACCAGATTATTCGCCGCTGATACCTGTATAGGAACTTCATCTGCTGATATGGTTTAAATTGAAGAAAGACTAAATCAAAATCAACTCTTCCTACATCTGTGAGCAAGCACATAGCTTGTACATTTTAATCCCACCAAGACCAAATATATTCTTTTAAGTCACGAACAGGTACGGGGTTATCAAACTATTTATTATGCTAACTTTGCCATTGAAATTGTAGAAACTCACAAACTTCTAGGTATCACTTTATCTCAAGATACGAAATGGACTGCACATATTTCAATTACTGCTAGGTCAACAGAAAAAAATATGGCCTCAGCAATTTCGTAAACCTAAATGTAAAATTAAAAAGATACACTATCTAACATTTTTAAGAATATTCATTCGAACTATGGGAAAGCCGTTCTGGCTGTAATGACAACAAATCTGAATTAATACAGATTGATACTGCAAAGAATTTACAGGTTTGACCAAATTTTCTTCCTAGATAGAGAAAAGAAATTAAAAACTTATGACAGTACACAAAATAGTAATAAACGAATGTTCCCCAAACCTAAATTATTTATTACCACACAGTAGGTCAAGTGCTGCAAATTATAACCAACGTAATAAACATAGCACAATTGTTCCATTTACCAGCACAAGTACTTTTCAAAAGTCATTTACTATAGACTCTTTAAAACAGCGGCATTCACAAAATGAAAATGTTAAAAAATAGTATTTCTGTAGCTGAATTTAGAAAAAAAATTATCCAAATGTTAAAAGTTCTCCATGCAATTTCAGTAATGGAAAACGTGAAAGTAATATTGTACACAAAAGAACTAGACATAGAAGCATTTATTTAGAGTTAATTTGTCAGACCTTAATTCCTGCTCTTTCGGTTCACCGTGCGAAAATTCGTTTCACTGTTTTCTCGAATGTAAGAAATATACTTTAAAAAGACAATCTTTGTCATCAGCATTATGAATATAGGGGCTCAGCCCTATTTAGCAACAATTTCAAGTGGTAACAAATTAATTCAATTTATAAATATTTCCATTAATTTCTATTGGAAACAAACAGATTTTAAATTAATTTTATGTAACAAGAATCATCTATCACTATCTATTTCTGTACTGGTTTATGTTTTCCTTCTTACTTGCTTATTCAGTACATGTTGGATACAGTAGAAAAAAAGTTAATTTGCAATAAAATATGTTTAAATAGAAAATAAAATAGATTGCTGGGGACCAATTCTAAACCGGAATCTCCACGGTACGACCCCCATAGATTGTAGGGGACAATTTCATAACGGACTCCCCACGGAACGACCTCCATAGATTGTAGGGGACAATTTCATAACGGACTCCCCACGGAACGACCTCCATAGATTGTAGGGGACAATTTCATAACGGACTCCCCACGGAACGACCCCCATAGATT